ATAATCACAGCAAAACAGGACTAAACCTGCAGACGTACGACCAACCCTCTAGTGGGCCTGGACTGCAGTAAGGCCTCATCTTTGGACTATAATATTCGTTGCATTTGCATGCTTGTGTGCAGTGAGGATACACAGTTATATCACAGTCAGGTGTGCATCGTACCATTTTAGCTAGCTGAAAATTAACTAGTAAGTGGCGCCATAAAAGTTAAAAAGCAATTATGGTGATGCTTTCATGATTACTGGGAGCGTTGCTCCTTGTGAACCTACAAGTGGAGATACTGATGCGCATTCTTCGTGAGCATGGGAGGGGTGGTTACGTATTTCATTTCAAAATGTCGTGAGATGCGTTGTCGCGGGATATTTCCATTTGAGACGACTGTCACTCTGTTTTGTGCTGGACAGAGACATGATTGCAACTGTCTCAAAACGATAGTATCTCTCCAAAAGTGGCAGACGATACGTTTGAATGAAACGCGCAGCCACGCCCTCCCTATGGTTATGAAGTCTATGCACTCGGACGAACAGCGAGTATGTTCCTTTTCCTTTTTACCGCAATTATTTCGGGATGATTTTCAAGTAGTTTTTCAAAAGCATAAGCCACACCTTCCTGATGTTGTTATTTTTTTCAGTGTGAAGAGATCCTCGTTGAAGTCGAACATGACTGTAAAGTCATGGAAGAGAAGGTATGTTTTTTTCAGTCATGTGCCTTCTCTTCACCCTGACCGATTCCTCACGCCTATGTCATCTCAACTTCAAGGCTTCAGTTCATCTCATTGTTCCACTGTTGAATGATTCCTAGAAAGCCACCTTTCGAGCATACTCTTTCGTTCCTTTGTTCTCATATGTCCATATTTTTCAAAATGCATTTTTCCATTTTCATTGTATCAAAAAAATCGATTTGGCTGTCATTCCAATGAGGTGGGGCCTTGTGGCCTTATGGGGCACCTAGGGCGTTTGAAATTAACTTTCTCACAGTGGAGTTGTTCCAACTTAACGAGGAGCTTTTTCTCATTCCCACCTCTCTGGGCTCAAACAGAAATACTCATCCAATCTGGCTCACAATAGTTTCTACACTCATTCCGCCACCAATGTCTCACCTCTCTAGTATTTAGTCTGGATTTATTCATTCCGAAAGGAAAGAAGTTTTCTAGCGCGTTCATACTTCGAAACCTGATCGACTAGATCGCAAAACGCGCTTTTCATTATTTTTTTAATAAATATCAGCTTGTGGCACTGTACCTTTGTAGGCAGCTGCAAGCCGTCATACAACTACCGCTACGCTGAATGAGATGGGTGACCTTGGCTGTAAGTACGCAGAACAGGATAACCAGTTGGTTTCGCTGCAGGTTAGGTTGCCACTTCTGTGCAAGAAGAAAACTTGTGGTGCATTCAGATCTCTGTATGTTGTTTTATTCAGGAAGATATTATCGCAGCTGAGAATTCCGTTCCACCAGAGATTTGCATTGAGGCTGCTGAAGTTGAACAGAAAGTGAATGTACTAGAGCAGGTTAGCTTATCTGATACTGTGTTCAAGAGATCGTTCTCGTCATAGGAATTGAAGTGGTGCTCTGTTGAAAAGGACGTTAGCATGACTATTCCTGTAGTGAGCAATTAAAAATCATCTGAGAAGTTCTGATTGGACAAGTCGACGTCAAATGTAGTTGTGAATAATGAGTGAGAACGTAAGTGACTGCCCCGACATTTTTCAGGTTGTTGCTTGCCTTTGAAGCTAGCAACTCAATGCTTTGTAACTAGAAAGAATTAGGAAGTATGTAGTAAGGGAGAGTGCGTTCAAAGTTTGTCGATCGGGGTCAGCAGTTGGCGGGTTACATCAAGCCCTATGAGCGGATGACAGTTAACGTAGCAGTGTTCTGAGGCGTACGCCCACGCTAAATAGAAATTTTGTAAGTATCGATCTAGCGCCCCGAGCACGCCAGTGCATGTACGCCTCAAAATTGCTGACGCCAAGTATGAACGCACCCCTAAGCTAGATGTCGATGCGATCTGACGAATGGGGAATCCGGTTAACTCGAGTGTAGGAGAATGTACGCCAAAAATCAGATAGAAATCAATCAAGCCTCATACAATGAGTGTAATCGATTTTCTAGCTTAATTTGGGAGGATAGAAGCAGACAGAGGTGCACCATCCGCTAGGAATTAGACAAGTTAGGAAGCAACGATTGACTGTAGCGGGTTCTCCCATTTCGGGCATTCCCCGATTCTCCCAGTTCTCATGCAACCGGCGCCAATCGATCCCATCTACTCCTTTGCAGCTCATTATCCCAATTCGTGCACTATCTGATGAACGCACTCTGCGAGGCTAATCACCGCCCTACGTCTGGCCAGGCGTACAAACGTTGTCAAACAATTTATATTTCATAGAATATAGAGCACGAAAAAAAAACCCTGAACTGCGTCGAGTTCGTTTCATCATGGTTCATTCTTCGGAGGACCGCAACTAGCATCACTTTCATTATTTCAGGAACTTCCTTATAATCGCTCACAGCGCGATGTGACATATGGGTGAAAAGGTGAAAAATTGCCCAGGGACAGTGTGGGTGCAGAACTCTTATCTACATAATATCACGCTAGGAACAGTTTGAAATTTTCGCATGCGTGTTTCATAATATACCCACGCTATGGGTAAATAATGAACACGGATGAAAATTTTCCGGCAAAAAGCAGGACTTTTCAATTTCTCAAAGCGGATTAGGCATTGCTAGAATGCTTACCCTCTCTACTAATTTTTCTGCATCTTCGTCTTCATCTTCTTCCTCCTCTTCAATCAGGCCTAAAAATTCCCGTCCATGTTCCTCCTGACATCTGATGACCGTGAAAAATGGAATCAAAAGTAGTGCGAATAAAAGTGGGTTCATATGGCGTTGAAGCCGAGGGAGTACCTGTAACAGACCAAGCAATAAAGTGAATAAACGATTCCGGCAAAATAGACGAGAAAACTTTAAATTTGCCATGACGCAGTGAATTCTAGACAGCTGAAGCGACTTTGAGACTCTGAGTCCTTCAACCAAAAAGCAAAAGTGACCTGTTTACGAAATGCTTGAGGAAGAGGAAAGCAGATCCAAAAGAAAAACCTCTAAGAGGATTTTTTAGGAGTTAATTCTGAGTCGTCAACTCAAAACCGGTTTCAGACGTTGAACAGATGGACACCACGGAATGATTACTGCAAGAGAAGAACGAGCGTAGTCAAGGTTTCCTGGGGCGGACCCGTCTGTGAACTATTCATGGACCGTATCTCGTCCAGCGTTACTCTGTGACAGCTGACTGACCGATAAAAGTAGGAACAACCATGGAAGATGGCTTTAAATAGGTTGTCGATCGATAAGAACCTTTCCATCCAGCTTTTTCTAGGGTTCATGATCAGATAAGCTAAGGTTGAGCCGTGTCCAACAAATCTGACTGACAGCAAGAAATGAGTGAATTAACATAAAAACCTACCGGACGACCGATCTACGCTGGCTTTCAAGTGATCTGAAGATGCAAAACAGCGCAATATCAATAACTGAAACATATAATAACATGACTGAGCGAAAATTGAGAGAAACATCAGACCTGCGCCAATTACTTCATAAAAAGGGTCTGTTCCACCATCAGGTCAATCAGTGAAATTGCAACAGAAATCTTTATATACACAGAAAAATACACAGGAAATCATGGCATAGAATCTAGGAGTATGCTCCTACGCTGAAGAGGAGAAAGTATAAACTCTAACAAACATAAAATTTTAACAAGACTCAACAGCAATATCAACAGAGATTCTAGGAACATGAACGGCAATAGCAAAGAAATCACGAACAAACTCGTGGATCATGAAATGATCATAAAAAAAGTACAACATCGCTTCCATACCTTGCCTATGTAGGGAGACAGCAGTTCGGGGGAGTTCGCGATTCGGAAGAACAGGCGCTTCCGGGGAATGCGCGATTCAGTCATTCTAGTTACGGCCTTTTTTTGGATACGGCAATGGTTTGATACCCTACTGAAGTTACCGATTTGTGATATAGAACCAGGGCTTACCTCCCTGACCACGAATTTTTCAGATCGAATTGTACCTTCTTTTTTCATTTCAACGCATTCCCGGAATTCCGCATGTTCCCGAGTTCGAGGCTTACTGTGAATGTGGAGAATTCGCGGTTTCTCCACATTCACAGTGAGCCAGTCTTTTAGATATTCAGTTGTAGAAAATTGAAAATGACTTGTACAAGAAAATATCAAAAATCCTCATGATTCATACCTCAAGCAAGCGTAGAAAGAGAGAGCTACACTGACAATCCTGCCAGCATGCGTTCCAGAGCCGGAAGTGCCTCGTAGAACTGTGCAAACGGATCTGATTGCTCGTCTTGCATCTTGTCGGCTAGTTCAGAAAGATAATTGTCGAACTCTTCGTGCTTTGTAATGCGCTGAAAATAAGGAATGGGGAGTCAGAATAGAATCCGACGCTGTCTGTCAATAGACATGTTCACTACGTAATGTGTAGAATAATGTACTCGGGATCCGAAGAAGTGTGATAGGGAATTAGCCGCGTTCATACCGGCGACAGGGAGAATTAGAAACTGGAATTAGAAAAGATTAGGAGAACAGGAGAATGTGCACCAAACGAAATTATATGCATCGATCTGGAGAATCGGAAGAGTGCTTTCATACTTCGTTCACGCTAGCGTTTCGAGTCTCTACGAGCGTTTTTAGCTCAGCAGTGCTATCTATGCATTCTTGGTTAACCAAAAGGCTGCTGGACAAACAGAAGACTGACGCTCAGAACGCTCAAACGCTGAACTGATACCTATACTTTCCTAGTAGCTGAATACGCTGGGAAGCGCTAACGTTGGCGAGTATGAACTCAGAAAGTAGTAATGGGATAATGAGCGGCAAAGGAGTATGCGGGATCAATCGACTCCAGTTACAAGCGAACTGGAAGAGCCGGGGAATGCCCGAAGAGGGAGAGTCCGCTTCAAAAGTCAACGTTGGCTTCTAACCATGCCTAATCCTAGCAATGGTGCACCCTTATCCTTCTATCCTCCCAATTCGCTAGAAATCGACCAATTCGTTGAGAGTTGACAGAGTTCTATCTGAATTTGGCGTACATTCTCCTACCCTCATACGGATTCTCCCAATTCGTCAGATCCACTGCATTTACTTAGGGTGCGTTCATACTTGGCGTCAGCATTTTGAGCGTACGCTGACATGCGCTGTCGTGCTCGGGATACGGCGCAGTTTGTCGACGGGGGGGGGGGGCATTCGGCTTTTCAAAGTGAGCTTGCCGACCGGCATCTAGTAGGCCTTTTCTCGAGTTGACACGTTTTAGGATGGTGGCTAGACGATCTTACTCCAGCTTCACAGGCGTTCACAAGTTTTACCATGGTGAGATTCGTAAACCGGAACTAGGGAAGCAATGTTAGTACAAAATGCCCCCCGTCGCTAAACAGCGCCCTGTCTACGTACACTATCCCATCCGTTTAAACGGCTGGTGTACGCCGCTCAAACTGCTGGCGGAAACTTTGTCTCACTTTCCTAATGTCCTATTCTTTAGTCACAAAGCATGAGTACAGCTTCAAAGGGCAAGCAACAACTAAAAATCGGGGCAGTCACTTACGTTCTCACTCATTATTCACAACTACATTTGACGTCGACTTGTCCAATCAGAACTTCTCAGATGATTTTTAATTGCTCACTACAGGAATAGTCATGCTAACGTCCTTTTCAACAGAGCACCACTTCAATTCCTATGACGAGAACGATCTCTTGAACACAGTATCAGATAAGCTAACCTGCTCTAGTACATTCACTTTCTGTTCAACTTCAGCAGCCTCAATGCAAATCTCTGGTGGAACGGAATTCTCAGCTGCGATAATATCTTCCTGAATAAAACAACATACAGAGATCTGAATGCACCACAAGTTTTCTTCTTGCACAGAAGTGGCAACCTGAACCTGCAGCGAAACCAACTGGTTATCCTGTTCTGCGTACTTACAGCCAAGGTCACCCATCTCATTCAGCGTAGCGGTAGTTGTATGACGGCTTGCAGCTGCCT